AAATCTTAAAAATCCCGTTTATAAACCTCAAGCTTGGGTGAATCAAAAACCAAACCCAGTTAATTTTAGATCTTCACATTATACGCAAAATCCTCAAAGTTCTACTTTCCCGTTTAAACTACCTTCACAAACTCCACTCTATCATCCACCTCTTTTCAGTAATACACCATTTAGATAGAATTTCCAAAATACTTGGCATCCAAGGCCAAATTTTCCAAATTTTTCGAGACCTCCTTTTCAAAGGAATCCACAGCCTTTTAACGTATTTCAAAATAATTAACCTCAATTTTTTCAAAGGCAAAATTCTAGTACAGTGACTAGAACCAGCCAAAATTCATTTAAACCTGAACCAATGAATACTAGTTCTGGTAACTCTAGAATTAAAACAAACCCAAAATTTACCTCTGAACTTTTTGCCCAATAAATAGACGAAAATCCAGAAAATATCGTAGATAGTTATGAACATAACGAATTTCCCCAAGAAAACTATGTAACTGAACCATATAATTATTGTAATAATTATCAGGAAAACAATTCGGACTTATTCGAATACTGACGACCAGTATTATAATTATAATAATGCTACGGATTTTGACATGCCAGAAAACATTCAAAACTATGAACAGGAAATTTCAAATATAAATTTTTATCAGGCTACTACCACCAAGCCGAAGACACAGTACATCTCAATAGTTACAATAATCGTGTAAATCTTCCTCATATTTACATTCCTCAAGTTGACGCTTACTTTCTTAATTTGGAACCGTTTCCAATTTTAATCATTACTGAATCAGCAAATTGTTCGAATTCACAAAACCATTCCATTCTTTTTTTTTTTTTGGGACAGTCTTTCTTTAGATGCCGTTTAGATGCCGTTTCGAGCCGCACAAAGCACATCTCGAACAATCTTTCCGAAAATGGTCAGTTTTTGTACACGTAAAACAACGAAATTGCTTCTTAAACATTTTTCCCCGGACGGTTCCTCCACTTTTATGAATTTTCTGCTTAGATAACAAAGCAACTGTCAAATTCTTGTTCTTCTTGCTTTTGCATGCGCATCTCTTCAGTTAAAAGGCGAGTTGTTAGTACTTCCAGCGTTCTTTGGTTTGGTTCTGTGAAATCCCATGCACTATGAAAATAGTTATATCTAGATGGCAAAGTCGATAATATCCTCGTCATCAGCATAGATTTCGGAATTTTTCCATCAAGCATTTTCAATTTGTTCGCCAGTTGCTATAACTTGGACACGTGTTGCGCCATGTTACCTCCAGATTCCCACTTGTACTCAAAAAATTGATTTTGTATTAAGGACAAGCTTTCGTGTGATTTTAGGTCGTAAACACTGTGCAACATTTGCCACATATCACGCGCTGTCTCGCAATTCATTAGTAATTGCAACGGTTTAGCTTCCACTGACGTAACAAACAATTTTCGAGCAAAACTGTCAGCCTTTGTCCATTTCTTTAATTTCTTTTCGAATTCCGCATCATTCGAATTTGGTTTCTCTTCAGTTCCTTGACAAACGGCCAATGCATCTTCACTATCCAATATGGTTTGCACTATAAACTGCCACATTTGTCAATTATCTGCATCACGTAACTTCTCATTCGTTAATTTGCACGCCATACACCGCAAAACTGCTCGTACCGAAACGATCGAAAAACTCCCGACCAAACTACCGAAAACTCACAAAAAACGTATTTTCGAATATTATTTCTTGCTACTTGTGTTCTGGGCCCATAACCTGTTGAGTATTGCCAGTAATGAAACCCAGTGATAAAGCTAAGAATAATAAAGGAAAATATATTTAATAAAACATGCACTGTTGTACATAAGGCAGATCTAGAACTAACTTTTAAAATAATATTTTATTCGCTGCTGTCCACCGCTGTCTTCTTGCGAACCTACTTATTAGACAAAACATCCGGTACACGAGCAGAAAGCGATAACATAATAAAGGTGTCTAAAAGTTAATACAAATAGATATTCATATTGTACGTATTAAGGGTTTTTTGTTCATTAACTTTAGCATTAACTAACCATTCTGTCTTGTACTCGTTGTTCTCATTAGGGTCAACGAGAACACGGTATTTCTCCTTTCTCGAAAAATATAATTTTTTCGCGTGTGTTAGAAGACAGGTATTATTAATTCTATCGATTTTCGGTCGGAAAAAAGTAATAAAATCATTAAAAAGATTGTTAGAAATGGTTCCGCGTAGTTTTTCTTCTAATTCGAAGATGTTTTTCTCAAGGTATTTGATATGCGTGTTACAGTCTTCAATTTGGAGGTTGAGCACTCTTTGTTTAACCATCGTCATAAGTTTTTTGGTCCTTATGATTCGTTCCGTTGGCACGGAACTGGATTTGACTGAGGCTGCAACTGATGTTGTCAATGAAGTTCGGTGTCAAGTCCTCAGTTCTGCATGATAGAAGAAAGGTGCGTCGACGTAAACTTTTTGTCAAGGCAATCCTGATGTTAAGTAATTTTTTCATCATGGATGTAGTTTCCCAGTTGTGCTGGATCGTGATTGTGTTTAGGAAACTGGTTTCTCCTCGTAGGTCTCTCTCATTATTTATCCGTGGTAACATATTTGCAGGTATATCCACATTGTATTAAACTATTAATTGATTCTAATTTTGTTGGTGTTCAAAATTCAAATTGTGAAAAATGCCTTTAATCTCGCCAATTAACCGACAATGTGTTCTATATTTGAAATTTCTTTATTGTAAAAGCGACGTTTCGACTGTCTATTTCAGTCATTTTCAAGCTACAAAATTTAAAATTACAATAGTAAGTTTCCATTTTTCAATCACAACATTTTGACAAAAGTAGTAAAACAAAATATTATACCTCGAATTTCTATCATTGCTTACATCTAATGCCGACTAGTATCACAATTGGTTTTAACAAAGGTTTTCATATTAACAAACTTTGTTTTTTTTAATAAATAGTAACAATAAATAAATTTATCACAATCAGTTTTTGGTAGTGTTTACAGTCAAACTATCGACACGTCAAGAGGCAAGGTTTGTAAAGCGCTGGTTTTCTCTCGCAAGCAATGGTACATACACATTATTCAAATTATCAGTGTCCGTTTGCGCATTAATACAATTTTTGTTTGACAAAGACAAAGTTTCTTAATATGAAAACCTTTGTTAAAACCAATTGTGATACTACTCGTCATCAGATGTAAGCAATGATAGAAATTCGAGGTATAATTTTTTGTTCTATTACTTTGGCAAAATATTGTAATTGAAAAATGGAAACTTACCATTGTTAGTTTAAATTTTGCAGCTTGAAAATGACTGAAATAGACAGTCAGAACGTCGCTTTTACAATAAATAAATTTCAAATATAGAACTTTAGTGTCTTTAGTATAATTATTAATAAAATAATTAATAAAACAATATTTAAACATCATCATCATAAGGTCATCAGTCCTAAGACTGGTTGGACACGTACCTCCACTCTTTCCTATCCTGAGCTAAACTTCGCATTTCCCTAAAACTAGAACAGCCCACATCCTTAACTATTTGCGAACAGTAATCTAATCTAGGTCTACCTCTACCCCTCCTAACTCCTGTTTCTGCCTCTAATATGTCTCTGACTAGACCTTCATGCCTGAGAAGGTGTCCTACCAACCTATCTCGCCTATTTTTTATTGACTTCCATAGAGTCCTCTGTTCTCCTATTCTTTCCAATACCTCTTCATTTCTAACCTTTTCTACCCACGATATCCTCATCATCCGCCTATAACACCACATTTCGAACGCTTCTAACCTTTTCTTTTCCGCCGCTCCCACTGTCCATGTTTCGCACCCGTACAACGCCGTGCTCCAAACATACACCTTTAACAACCTTTTTCGAATTTCTAAATTAACCGTTCGCGAGCATAGAAGTGACTTCTTTTTATTAAAGGCGACACGACCCTGCGCTATCCTCTGCTTTATATCCCTACTACTCCTTCCATCCTCACTTATCTGACTTCCTAGGTATCTAAAATCAGCCACTTCTTCTAATTTTTCGTCTCCTATCTTTATATTCGCTCTTTCCCTACTTTTTCTTCCCTTGCATATCAGTATTTTAGTTTTACTTTTATTTATTTTCATACAGTACTGATCTGTCAGTACCGCTTCCATTTTATTTAAAGCTAAATATTTAAACAATTAACCAAAAATTTATACGTGCCCACAACAAATTAAACAACAAAACAAACAGATGGTAAAAATAAAACACAACAGCCAAAACACACAACGAAATAACAACAACAATAATGACAATAACAATGATAACAATTTATAACTGAAAAAGAAAACTTACTACAGAGACTGTCGAATGCAGAAAACACAGATGCGTTGTTGCGTTGTACGGAGTTCCTTGACGAATTCTGAGGCGTCCTCGTGGGTCTTAAAATCGGGATGCGATCCTAAAAATTCGCCAGGAAGTCGTAATGTCTCTCCGTACAATAGCCCTACTGTGGTGGCTTGCAGGTCCTCTTTCCAGGCAGAACGCATCCCACGGTCGGCAGAGTTCGCGTCCAGGAATTGCCCTGGTGACACATTATGGCTGCTTTTAGCTGCCTGTGGGGCCGTTCGAAGATGAGTCGTACCTAATAAACGGTTTAACTGCTTAAAAACGTACGACTCAAATTGTCTGCCCTGGTCGGAGGTGATTCGTAACTGAGTCCTAAATCTGGCGATCCAGTTACTATAGAAGGCGCGAGCGATGGTTGCTGCTTCCTGGTCAGGGATAGGGACTGCTTCGGGCCACCTGGAGTAACGATCAACCATCGTGAAGCAGTATCTGCATCCTTCAGACGACGGCAGGATAACAATGTCGATGTGTATATGGTCAATCCTCGCTGACGTTGGCGAAAATGTACCTACGGGAGCAGATACGTGTCTGGATACCTTCGAGCGTTGACACGGTACACGGGAGCGGGCCCACTGTCTGACATCCTTTTTGACGGATGGCCAAATGGAACGTTTCGTCACAAGTTTCACCGTCGCGTTAATTCCCGGGTGGGAAACTCGCGGTCGTAAGCAGCATAGTTTAGTTCGGCAAGACTTAATTTCTTAGAGAAGAAATCTAAAGGCTGCCAATTGTTGTCCACGAGCTGCTGCAGAACAGCTCCGACGGCGTAGTCCGAGGCATCGGTAAAAATTGCCAAGGTTGCGTTCATCTTCGGGTGGGCAAGCAGCGTAGCTTGCGATAGGGATTCTTTGCAAGCTTCGAATGCCTGAGTAGCTTCTGGTGTCTACGTTACTGGGTGATTTCCATTAACGTTGCCTTGTAGAAGGTCGTTAAGTCGCGCTTGTATTTCCGCTGCTTTCGGGACGAACCTTCGATAGAAATTCACCATGCCAAGAAATTGACGAAGCTTTTTGACGGTCTGCGGAAGCGGAAAGGATCGAATTGCATCCACCTTTTCGGGCAACGGGTGTGTGCCGGTTCCGGAATCACGGTAGCCAAGAAATTTGACTACCGGTTCACCAAATACGCACATGGATGGATTGATGACTACTCCATATTTTTGTAGTCTCTCGAATAGAGTCCGCAGATGGTCTAGGTGTTCTTCCAATGACGCTGAAACAACTAGAATGTCGTCTATGTAGGCACAGCAAAGTTCTAGGCCCTGCAAAACTTCATCAATAAAGCGCTGAAAAGTTTGCGCAGCATTGCGTAGACCCAAGCTCATGTGAGTAAATTCGAAGAGACCAAAGGGTGTCGTTATGGCTGTTTTAGGAACATCCTCTTCAGCAAGTGGGATCTGGTTGAACGCACGTACCAAGTCTAATAGTTGAGAATATCGTTTTCCGCTGAGCGTCTGCGAAAAGTCCTGAATGTGTTTAACCGGATATCGATCAGGGCACGTTCTGGCGTTAAGGGCACGATAATCGCCACAGGGTCTCCATTCGTCGCCTGTTTTAGGAACCATGTGCAGCGGTGATGCCTAGGAACTCTTGGAAGGACGAGCGATACCCAACTTGACCATAGCCTCGAATTCCTTTTTCGCAGCACGCAACCTGTCGGGAGTGAGTCGTAGTGGTCGTTGCGCTACAGGTGGTCCGGGAGTGGTGATAATATGATACTTCATGGAATGGTTCGTAAACAAAGGAGTGTCTCCTGGCCGGGTTAAAATTGTTGTAGCAGATCGTGGAATAATGACGAACCAGAAACAGTCTTTATGGACGGTGACTCGCACTCAATCACCTTCCCTTGGGAGGTAAGATGGGTAGTTGAGTCCAGGAGACGTTTGTTCTTCATGTCCACCAGCAAACCAAAGTGCGACAAAAACTCGGCGCCGGTGATTGGCTTTGAGACGTCAGCCACGACAAATCGCCACGTGAACTGTCGTCTAAATCCGAGATCGAGGGTTAACGTGAGTGTTGGCAGCGGAAAGTTCGTAATTTGATTTTTCCCGTGGTTCGGAAAGTTCCGAACGCGGGAACACACAGAGGTCGGCACAAGTGGCGATAAGGAAACGTATCTTCGTAGACCCATCGGTAATAAATAATAGGGCTGCTGTCGTCGGACGCCATCAACGATTGTCCCCGTCGTTTTCCGGAGCGTTGGCTTCGAATTTACACGCTTTGGTACATTTCGTTGCATTACTGATGAACCGAAGATGGTACCAGCAAATGTCGTTATTTTCCCTTGGTCGTGAATGCGAACGCGAGCGTGATCTCGACCAGAAACGCCCAGGCTGGTGTGGCGGTTCACGATTAATTTTTAGGGAAGCTAATTCTTGTAGCGCTGTGGTTAGAACATTTTCTAAAAAAATCTAACCTGCTGTTTACTGCTGCATTTGTAGTGGAAGTCTCAGCCACGTTGTTGATTTGTCCATAAGCTTCTATTATGGTGTCGGCGATCTCTGCTCTCTTTTCCAGTGGTAGGCCTTTGTGTGCAGCTAATAAGGCCTGGATATGTTTGGGAAGACGTGTTAACCAGAGGGTCTGTAGAACTTCTTCGGGGAATTCGCTGCCAGCATGGTTACGCAAATGACGTAGGAACTACGTCGGTCTGCGATCGGCAAGTGGTTCATTTTCCAGTAGCCGTCTTGTATTTTGTTCTTGTGATGCACCCATACGTTTAATAAGTTCTCGTTTTAATAGTTGGTAGGTCCGTTCGCTGCGCGGTTTCACAATAATGTCGCGAACTTCGAGGGCGTATTTTTGATCTAAACCACTTAACGCGTACCAAAACTTGGTGTTGTCCTGCACAATTCCCGCAGCGTTAAAGCTGCTTTCCAATACGGAAAACCAAAGTTCTGGATCCGACGGGATGAAGGCTGGCACTTTTACCGAAACGCGGTCGATCGATGTAGCAGCACTGTTCTCGGTGGTCACAGTTCTGTTTATATTAGTTCAATTTNTTTTCTTATTAATAATAAAGTTCCATTCCTTTCTCCAAAAATTTTTAAATGGGGTAGCAATAACTTTTCCCCGTGAGGGCCACTTGCGGCATTCCGGATGATGCGCGAATGCAGTAAGGCGTTATATGCCCCTTCCTTGCCTTATGGAGCAACCTCATAGATCCCACAAGAGGTGTTTGGCTAGCCTCCTAGGGACCGTGCCTGCACTCCCCTCAAAATTCTAGTCAGGTAATAGTTTTTCCCCGGGGCCACATGCGGCATTGCTGAGGAGGCGCAAATGCGGCAACGCGTTATATGCCTCTTCCTAAGGTGTGGCTGCCCCTTAAGGACCCTACCTGCAAAATTCTAGTAGGGTAGTTGTGAAATATTTAGAATGACCAAGTTTGTCCAAGATTTCGGTTATGTTGGGAAGAGATCCTTTTCAAAATTAATTTTTATATTGAATTGTTTTAAAAAATCTTTTCCTAGAATACCATCGCAATTAATAGGAAAGATACAGCGTGAAAAGGATGGGTTAGGAGTTTGTCTCCAAATGATAGATCTAAGAAAGAGTAGCAAATGGTTTGATATGGATTTTGTACATTATTTATTCTTTTTAGAGTGATTGGTGGATGGTTGTAGTGATGATAACTTAATGAGTGATATGTCAGCACCTGTATCGACTAGAAGTCGAGTAGGTTTTGAATTTAGTTGAGCGATTTCTAAAGCGACATAGGTAATTCTAAATTTATTCTTGCTATTCTTGAGGTGGTTCGATCTGGAATGTTTGTGCAACCCTCGCCCCGACCGTAGGACGAGGATTTTGGAAGTTTAAATGTGTTGAATTTGAACTACCATAAAATGATTTATTCTGATTGTTATTTTGATTCCTCATCCTATTGGTTTATTCGATTTTCCTACACTCATTTATTAAATGCCCTATCTTTTTACAATAAGCGCATGCTTTTGTTTGATTAGAAAAATTAATAATATTCTTCTTATTGTGAGGCTAAAATCTGTTATTAAAGTTTGAAGTGGAAATTTGATTAAGAAAAGGATTTTGAGAATTTTGAACATGTCTAATATTAGGATGTGGATTATTTTTGTTATATTTACAGTTGAAACTTGTATGTCCTGACTTATTGCAAAAAGAACATTATTTGGCATTTTTTAATTTCTAATTTTAGCCCTGTTATAAAAACATTTAAAGCTTGATTCTTTAGTAAATTTACGCATGCCTCTCCTGCGTCCCTACTTAACTTCAATAATCTAGTGAATTTATTAATTTAATGTAACAATTCTCTACTTTATTAGCTTACGAGATAACATTCTCGTTGTGATTTTGTTTGCAACTATTTAATTTCTAATTGCTACTGACCTACAGTTCGTTTCTCTGCGTTTGCGTCGAGGAGATGGTTTTTCAAAGTAGTCCAATCTTGAAATGACCTATTGCGAATTAAAGCGCGAGCATTGTCTGAATTTTTGTTTCTATTATGGTGTATAACACTAGCCTATACTCTGGTCGCACTAAAGATATTGCCCTATCACAATTGTTTATAAATTGGAAGAGTTTAGATTTACTGCCATCGAATTTAATTAGCATTTTCTCTGCAAGTTCTAATGATATTTGCGCTTGCGCAACACTAGCACTAGCAGCAGCAGCAGCAGAAGAACGAGATGTGTCGGGATTCATTTTTAATCAGATATGGAATAGTGTGCGAATGTTTATAGAAAAGATAGTTTGACTTACAGGAGATAAGAGATGCTGTGGTGATCGTCCGGTTGATTTCCAAAAGAATTCTTCTTAGGTTTGATGAAGGCTTCGCCACCGTCTAAGATGCTGACTCCGGTTTCTTCACGAGAAAGTTCTTAGTCGTTTGCAACGTATCCCACTCCTGACACCAAATTTTTCTTGTGATGGATCTCAAGCAAAGAAGTCGAAGATTTATGTTGTAGATTTATTAAAGAAATAATTGATGCACTTTTCACTTAATTATTTATTAAAGTTGTACGATCATATAATAATATAATAATTAAGCATAGGAATCCTTCACAACGAAAACCGGCCTGGGAGTCCACATGCGTGGGAAACATCCAGTCCAGTTACACGCTTCGGGTCGATGTAAGCACAAGATGGACGGACGAAGACGAGATGATGTTGGCGCACAAGGAAACAGAGATCTTGATACTGGGTGAAGAACGTTTTATAAACCAGGAACTTGTTAAACACTTCCCCAATAGAACATTGGACACCATCAAGAAGGCACGCCAAAAACAACCTTATAAAGACGCCGTGGTAGCCTTCTTGAACGCACCAGCTGTGTGGCTACACCCGATCGTCCCCTCCGGCCGTCCACAAACTACCAGGAGGTTCGGCCCGAAACCAACTACAAGGGCCCCACTCAGGCAGGACTATGCTGATCCGAAGCCCTCTGCTGGCGGAGTCGAGGCACCGCTGATTCCCGAGAGTGAAAGTGATTTTATTGACTATATAATGACCAACATCAACCCCAAAGGAGCCTCTTTCCTTCCTCATGAGCTGTTGGACATTGTCCGACAAGCCAAAGCGATCGGCAAAGAGGACACCTTTATTCGGGTGTCCTGAAGCTGAAGCCACAGCAACGTTTGCATGCGCTTCGTACTGTGCTTCTGCCGCGCCTTTACCACAAATCGGTCGCATCCGAAGTAGGCTGTCTCAAGAAGACAGAGCGATTGATCCGGGCTGCCGTTCGCAGATGGCTAAATCTTCCCAATGACATCCCCAATGCCTACATCCATGCCGACGTTTCGGATGGTGGTCTAGGTGTCCATAAGGTGGACTGCTCCCTGCCTGAGAAGAAATAGGCTCATGGGTCTCAAGCTTCCATCGCTGGAAGACATAACAGTTGCAAACACCTTCCTAGCAACCGAACTCGACGCCGCGGAGAAACGCCTTAACATCAATGGCAAACAAATGAAGACCCTCTCCGACATAGCATCCATGTGGAGAGGCAAGCTACATCGCTCCGTGGACGGTGCCGGCCTTCGAGAGGCATATAAATGCCCCGAGGCCCAGCGTTGGGTTCGTGAACCAACTCTCCTGTTATCCGGCTGAGACTTTATCAATTCAGTCCGTTTAAGGATCAACGCTCTGCCATCCCGCAGCCGTACGGCTCGCGGTAGACCTTTGAAAGACCGAACGTGCAGAGCCGGATGTGATAATCAGGAGACACTAAACCACGTACTCCAGCGATGCTATAGGACCCATGAACCAAGAATCGATCGCCACAATGCGATCGTTAAATACATTGACCGGAAGCTGAGAGCACAGGGATACGACACCACCCTGAAACCCGTTATCGCCACACCCGCCACGTAAACCTGATATCGTGGGCACCATAGACATAAGGACTATCGTCATAGACTGTCAGATAGTCACAGACAGTATAGCCCTCACGGAAGCCCACAAAACAAAAATTGGCAAATATAACACACCAGCCGTTGTAGAACATCTAAAAAAACGGCCAGGATGCCAAGAGGTTTACGTGACGGCGGCTACACTCAATTGGCGTGGCGTCTGGTGTAAACGCTCCCTCCAAGACTTATACCACCATGCCCTCTGAAAAGCACGGACGCAGTCTTAATTAGCACCCAAGTGCTCATTGGTGGTATTGCCAGTTTCCGACGTTTTAACACCTCAACGTCTGTGATGCGCAGTACAGGTATAGGTTAAACGCCTTTCCTTCCTAATTCCCAATCTATTAGCCCGAGAAATAGATGTGACGCTCAAACTCCCTCCCCGGACCCCGCTGCCTGGGTTAAAGGCACAACCGGGAAAAAAAAATGTTTTTCAGTGGGTGGGAGTATGATACCCTGCATGGTGAAGAATGGGAATATCTAGGCGTCACATTTACCAACGATTGACGCACAAAATTTCGTGCATGAAGAGGTGGAACTGACACTCCAGCGACTCACTAAGGCGCCTCTGAAGCCTCAGTATGCATTACCCACAGTGCTGCTCCCGAGCCTCTACCATAAATCCTCGCTTGGTCGTATCCTACTTGGCTGCTTGAATAAGACCGAATGGTCCTAGCAGCAGAAATGGTTGAATCTCCCGCATGACATTCCCAACTCATTCATCCACGCCGACGTCGCGGATGGCGGGCCGGGCATTCCATCTGTGAGATGGACCGCCCCCTGCCTAAGGCGTAACAAATTGATGGGCCTAAAATTGCCGTCCCTGGAGGACATGACTACGCCAAACGCCTTTATTGCGAATGAAATCAACGCAGCGGAGCGACGTCTACAACGCAGTAAAATCCTCAAGACCCTCCCCGCAATATCAGCTATGTGGAGAAAAAAAATATACCGCTCCGTGGACGGGGCTGGTCACCGTGAAGCCTACCGATGCCCCGAAGCCCATCGCTGGTTTCGCGAACCGACTCTCCTCCTGTCAGTTAGACAGACACAACGCCATCGTTAAATACATCAATCGTAAATTACCGGTCAAGGGCTACACCACCACCTTGGAGCCCACCATCGCCACTCCCGCCGTAAACCGCAAACCTGACATCATAGGCATAATGGGCATCAGGATTGACAGCATTCCTCTGAGAGATGCCCATAACACAAAAGTTGGAAAGTATAACGCCCCGGCCGTTGTAGACCAGCTTAAACAAAGACCAGGATGCCAGGAGGTTTACGATTCGGCGGTGACTCTGAATTGGCGAAGCGTCTGGTGTAAGCAATTTCTACAAGACTTGTACCATCACGATAAGCTGAAGTGCACCGATGCAGCACTCGTGAGCACTTAAACTCTGATAGCTGGTACTACAGATTTTCGACGATTTAACGCCTCTACTTCGTTGATGCCCCGCACAGGTGTAGGCTAATCCCTTTTCCCTCATTCTTGAATACAAAAATGACAATGCAATTAGAAACTTAGTTGCGTTTTTCAAAAACACATTTTTATTTTATTATATTTAACAAACTAAAAAAAATAGATATGTGTACACCAGACTTATTAGTTTTTGCGCTGTCTTTTTGCTGCTCTTTTGTGAATTGTGGCTGGAGCATATCTAACAAGAGTCCAACAGTATTCTGCAANAAAAAAAAATGTTTTTCAGTGGGTGGGAGTATGATACCCTGCATGGTGAAGAATGGGAATATCTAGGCGTCACATTTACCAACGATTGACGCACAAAATTTCGTGCATGAAGAGGTGGAACTGACACTCCAGCGACTCACTAAGGCGCCTCTGAAGCCTCAGTATGCATTACCCACAGTGCTGCTCCCGAGCCTCT